ATGGGCACGATTTTAAATCTAATCAGCTGCAATTTGGCATTCGGTTTTTTATTTGGTAGAATGAATCCTTCTAAAAATTATCAATATTGGTCAATTCATTAAGGTAACTTCCATATAACGGTACCCACAATATTCGGTATTATTTGGAGTTTGGTCCAGTTGCTGTAATTTTTTTATTTTGGATGATCAAAACCTTACCAAAAATTATCAATATTGTCCAAGTTTACGGGTAGTCCAGATAATGGTATTTTCTATGTGGTGTCAAATCTTCCTACCAAAAATTAATATATATCCGTTCCCATTGTAGTAGCTGTAATAAGTCATTCCGCGATATTGGAGGGTAAAACACATTTTTTGCGGAAATTTTTCTAGGTTCAAGTTTTGATATAGTTCCTACATACAGGTTCCCCCATTTTAGGTATTATAAAGACTTGAACCGAAATGTTCCTTTAGAGTTTGACATAACGGACATAATGAGGTTTTTGTAATTTTATAGTTATATTTTCAATTTTTGTAATAAATATAATAAATGTTTTTAGCGATTTTTTTATTTGAATTTTGCCTTGTGAGGCAGTGATCATTTGAAAGTAATTTTAAGTGATTATTTATACTCTTTCGATTCGAGCTTGATGATCTAAGTTTTCATGATCTAGTAATAGTAATAATGGTCAATTAAATAATTATAAAACCAGATAAACGAGGTTCGCGTCCATTTGTGTGCTTACTTTCGACTGTGTGTACCCTTGTTCTGGGCACATGTATACTGCCTTTTCCGAACGATAACATAAACCTTCTTTTCGGTTCCGTTATGTGCTTAGTTCCGATTCATCTACATTTTACAGTTACTTTCACTAACGTCGCGTTTGTTTACACCGCCTGCCAAATGCAATTGGTGGGAGGTTCACATTTGATGGTTCGGCAAGTTTAGCACCCGGTTTGTTTAGTTTACGGTGGTCGGGTCGGAAATACATACCGAACAGCCAGTTTTCTACTTGTTTTTGTTGTATGGTCAAGCATCCATCCAATCAAAGCAATTATCCTTTTTTCTTTTGATACTTTAATCTGAAAATAAAAGCAAACAATAAAAGAAAAGTTTTAAAAAGACACGAAAAATATTAAAAATCGAAAATGCCAGTCCAGCGCTATTGTATTGTCCCGGGCTGCACTGAGCAGGGGGTACCATTGTTCAGTTTCAATTTGGAGAATATGGACCTGTGGTTAGAACAATTGGGTATGGTGGGCCGAGTGGTCAAATGTTCCTATGAGAAGGTGTGCCAAGTACATTTCGAAGATCATTGTTTTGCCAATCACGTAAAGACTAAACTGAATGCCGATGCAATACCAACGTTGTTCATACAGCCGAAAAAATCGGAAAGACCAATGCCGCCAGGTAAGTCCGTGTAGTGAAAGAGGTGTTCTATTTATTAATTAAGAGTATTTATAAGATTTTATTAAAAGTTTAAAAATAGTATGAAAAGGTTTTTCTTAGCAGTACCATGTATGGTTCCAGAAAGATATCAGCAAGTTATGATATAGACACCTGCATAGACCAGAGAACTTATACCTACTAATGGAAAAGCCATTTTAAGCTTAACTTCAAGTTTTGTGAGGGCCCCATTGCTGGGTCGAAAAAAACGTGGGAATCTTACATAATGTCATCCGCATATATCATAGAACTAATAACTACGATTTTTTCCCGAAAGGCTTCACTTACATCCTCCATGTATATATTTCCAATAAAAAAGGGCTATAGTTTCTTCTCAGAGTGCAATAAGCTTTTGGATACAGATAATGAAATATGAAGGACCAACACAGTATTAAAAGAATGCAACGTTATGCCTTCAATATTTAGAAATGCAACACCTTATTGAAGTTTTCTGTAGAGCCGGGACTTATGGGCGAGCTTTATGTTTCCATGCCTTTAGAATCGCCTGTATCAATGTATATTGCCATCAGTCTTTTCATTGACCACTTTTCCTAATCTTGATCAGGTTTCCATCTTAAACATCTCTGCCTGGTATTTCAATTTGTTTGAAGTCGATTATATATTAAAATGGCGGAGAGTCATATGTCTTCCTAGTTTAGAAAAATTTCCAGCTCTACATTTCGTAGAATCAGAATCAAGCTCCACAATTTATAAAATCAGATCCAATTTTAGAAAATCGGAAAAAGGTTTTCTATATATGGAAGGCTAAGTGAAACACAATCTAATATTCTAGAAGTCCATGACAGATCATATTTAAAAGTGAAAACCTTCTATACTAAAAAGACCGCCTGGAGGACCTCCATACTTACGCCCGAATTGCCTAGTTTCGTCTAAAATATATTTGCCCACATACATGTTCATATCTCTCTGAGCTCTTGAATGCATCAATTTGACGAAGATGTTAGATTTGTTCGAAAAATTTTACTAAGTAGCCAATGAATTGCCTATTTTGTTCTTGAGGAATTCACATTCAAACATTCTTAGAAGACCGTTTACAGGTCATATATAAAAAGAAGACCGTATATTGTCTTCTAGACTCATATGACCGCTTAAGGGTCATGTTTACACAGAAGGTCTTAAAAAGTCGTATGGAGACCATACACAGTTTTGATAGGTTTTCGATGTAGCTAAAGAATGCCAAAGCTATCCAATCAAATAGGACTATACTGGCCCATTGATAAGCCGTTTGGCCGGCCTTCTGTCGAAAAATAAGTAATAAAAGAACTCCCACAGGTCTCATAAACATTGAAAATAGGCATTCAAGGCATTCGAAAGGCTTCATGTACTATCGAAAAAAAATCTTCTATTTTAGAAGACGATTATTTATCTTACACTAGCGATGTGACCTCTGTTGTACTATAATTCCGAATTCCACCTCTATTCCTACATCTAATAACAAGTTTATAGCCATTTAGTAATTTTCGTACTCATAAGTAAAAACTTCCAAAACAACCTCAATCCTGCTTTCAGATAGTCATCGTAAGTTAAAATTTAAGAATTCCAGCTCCAAATTGTACCAGATTTGGTACCATTCTGTACTTTTCGTACCCCCATTCCAAATCTATTTCAAACGTACACTCCGACAGTGATCTTAGTTGCAACTCTCAGGACTTCAGTTCTATCCGTTCACCAATGTCCAAATTGTACCAATTTTAATGCTTTTCGTACCCATAAGTACATAGTTCCAAAACTACCTCAGTCATGCACTCCAATAATAATCTTAAGTCTAAATATAAAGATTCCTGCTCTTTCCGTTCACCAACATCTAAATTGTCTAGTATCATTTATTACTTTTCGTAGATGTAAGTACGACTTTCAAAAATTCCTCAATTTCACACTCCAACAGTAATTTTAATCATAAATTTCAGGATCCCAGCCCATCCGTTCACATAGATCCAAATTCTACCATTTTTAATACCATTTAGTACTTTTCGTACTTATAAGTTCCAAATATAAGTTTTCCATCTCTATCCTTTCACACAAATCTAAATTGTACAATATTTTGTACTATTTATCACTTTTCGTGCGAATCAGTTCTGCTCTCCAATAGTAACTTTAAATTCCAAATTTTAGTATTCCAACCCCATCCGTTCGCACAGAAAAAAATTGTATGATAGTTAGTACAATTTAGTACCCATAAGTACAAATTTCCAAAATTACCTTAATCTTATACTCTAACGGTAATCTAAATTTCAAATTTCAGGATTCTAACTCCATCCTATCACCCAAATGCAAATTGTACCAAATTTAGCATTATTTAGCACCTTCCGTACCCTATAATTACGAATTTTCAAAGCAACTATGCAGCACTATCTGTTCACATAAATCCAACCAACTTGTACCAAATTGAGTACCATTTAGTACTTTTCGTACACATAAGTACGATTTTTAAAGCTACCTTAATCCTGTACTCCAACAGTTCATATTTTCAGGATTCCATCTCTATACGCTCAACTAAATACATATAGTTCCAAATGTAGTACCATTTTGTACTTCTATACACATAAGTGCGAATTTATTAAACAATTTCCATACATCAACACCACTTCCCAATCTGTATTCCATATATTCAAGATTCTAGCTATATGTGATCAATATATTAGGTTGGATAAAAATTTTCTCTTCGTTCACTTCCATTTTTAACACCCTGTAACTCACAACTGAATGCACCAAACAAAAAACAGCAAAATATTTTTTTACTGCGAAATTTCACCCTTCCAACGAGCTTAAATCTGAAATTATTTGAAAGATACTTTACAAGAAATTTATCAGTACAGTTATCTGCGGAAAAATAATGGATTTCTTTTTCCCCAACCTAATATATACAATTAGAACAAAATTTAGTAAAGTTGAGTACTTTTCGTACACTTATAGGTCGAAGTTCCAACAAGTCTATTGTAAAACTTTCCATCAGCGACTTATATTCCAAATTTCAGAATTTCCCGTTTGCCTAATATAAAGGATGGCATATTTAGTACATTTTAGTACTTTTCGTGCCCTTCTAATTTGGATTTCTAAAAACCCTGCCTAAAATCTCAGGCCTGTACACCAACAAAAACACACACTTAAAATTTAAAGCTTCTAGCTTCAGCCGTTTCGTCTGGGCGTTGATCTGCCAGTCACTCACTTATCACTAAGCTCTTTTATTATAAAGAAGCTCTCTATAAAAAAATTTTATAGATTCTAAAACTTGTCTTATTCTTCACCTAATGACCTCAAAAATGAAATGTCATTGAAAGCTCTTCCATATTGCACTTCTACACTCAATGAGATATCGGCATACGTATGACCTTTAAAAGAACTCATTGTCATAGAAGTCCTGTTAACTTACCATAAATCAACTCATAATTAATTCATAATCAAATCGCATTTCTTTTGAATTTCCCCATATTTAGTTCTTGTTAAATATATAATTGTTTCTTTCGATTACAAAACTATCCGCTATAAATAATATTAATTTCGTTCACACATAAAAAAGATTCATGCTATGCATTTGCTGTCATTTCGCTTTCGCAAAAATTCTCACATATAATAATCGCCACCAAATCCTCCTGGTGGTGGGAAATGATCCGGATTTGGATTGGGTCTTATACCACGTTCTGGTGGTCCATATGGATCAAAACGGGGACGTGGTCCATTATTGGGTCCAATGCGAAATTCAGGATTCGAGGGGAATGGGAATAGATTACCGGGACCACCACGACCCAAGGGATCCAAGTCGCCACGTCCAACTTCGGGAAAACCAAATGGTGGTGGGCTAAAACATATAAAAAATATGTATGTTAAGAGAATGAATTTCATATGGGTACAATAAAGTAACATACCCTCCAAAAGGCCGCCTGGGTTCACCAATGCGCAATGGATCAGGATCTGAGCCACCAAAGGGTCTACGAGGTTCGCCCACACGCAATGGGTCATGATCTGGATTAGATGTAGATGCTGCAGTTTGGGTAGTCACTTCACGACTGGTACCCAAAAATACCTAAGTAAAGAGAATCTTTTATTTTCCCAACACCGAGAATATTAGGATGTCGCTAACTTACCGGTTCCAATAACTCCTTGCGATAACGATCTGTTAACTGTGATGCTGTTGGTATCATTTTTGTTAAACTTCCTTTCAGTTCCTTAACTAATTCTTCGGCATTTAGACAAATATTGGATACCTTGTGCGACTTGACATCCATTAGAGTAATTATCAACGAACCCTCAGTACGCAGACCCAACAGCAAATACAATTGTTTGTTGTGTACATAACGCAATGCATAATTTTTCTCGTCATCATTCCAATTGTCCGGCAAGAGTTCCGAACCAGATTCTTCATCCTCTTCGGTTAGGGTTTTCTAAAAATACCCAGTATTATTTTCAACTCATCGGAATTATTTTCCATTCACTTACATCGTCGCCCAAACCAATGCAGCGGAACTGTGAATTTTTGGTCAGCACAAAGTGCACCAGTGCAATTAGCAAGTCATCCTTTTTATTGATTTGGGTTGCAATAGTTTTGAATAACAAGTCCCAGCCATAAAAATCTGTGGCCGACATGATTGCTTTTGTTGATAGTCCCTTGCTATCAAAGCTTTTTATTTTTTTCTTTGGTCTTAATTTCACAAGCACAATGCCTTTTTATTTTCTTTTTTGAATGATTCCTTGACCACTTCAGCCGTTCATCAGTCGGCTATTTTGTTTATATGCGATTTTTTATCAGCTGTTATTTTTGTACGGATAATTTTGGCATTTTTCTTTTCGGGGGAATTCACATTTGCAATTAGGGATCTGTAAGTCGAACTTCGTGAAAGTGTTTAATCGAATATTGACATAAATAAAAAAGTTGAACTTCATCTAAAAGTAGTGGGAAATGTTTATAGTTTACAGTTAATATACCTACAATTTCTGTGAATTACTAAAGTTCTAAGTAAATAAATCCAATACGAATATGAATATTAGCAAATAAGAAAAATTATATTTAGATTACTGAACTACTGATCCCTATTTGCAATGAACTAAAAAGACCTAAAATAAGCAACGATGTGAATTAAAGAAGATTGGGTGTATGTTGAATGGTAACACGAGTTTGATAGGTGCACGAACGCTATACATTGAATTATACATATCAAGGACAAGCGGTTTGTTCTGTTCATATACTTTTCCAGCAAAAAGTAATGGTGTTTTTACACGATATGTATTTTACATATGTGCTGTCACTTTATTTACATATGAAAATCGAACTCGTCATGTGAAACATACGGAAATTTCAATGTGTCAAAACGATATGCAATTACATATGTAGTTTTCCCGAATAGGACGCGCTCTATTTTCGTATGTGAAGCATAAGGAAATCAGCTGTTTGAATGAAGCACATTGTTGGAAGCAAATATTTTAATTGCAAGTCAAAGAAAAGGATTAAAAGGCAACAATTACAAATTATTAACCCAGTGGTTTTCAATTGTCAATTCCTTTGTATATATGTCAAATCATGGTATAATAATAAAAGGTAACAGCAAGTGTTGTTGTACAAAAAAACGATACAACAACCACATGGAAATTTGTTGTTGTAAGTTCTACTAGTGTCAACTCATTTGACAGAAAACTGTAAACAAACGAACAAATTATCATCAATTTATGTTTATTTTGAAAATGGAATATTTTCAAATCCTCAAAATAAAAATTGAAAAACATGAATGAAAATTTATCAAATTTATATTTCTATCGCTTCCACACCTTTCCTTTAATTGAGCCATTGCCATATATATGTGTAACACATATGACAATGCTGGGAATAGCGAGTTATTCCTTCAAGAAAGATTTGCTTCCTCAAACTTTCCCAGTAGGCAGATTAAGTAAATTGAATACGGGAGCACATTAATAAAGAACAATTTCAAATTGTATGCGTTCCCAATTTTCCTGTTGGGTGATTTTTAAAAACATAATTTGTCAAATTCATATTGACACTAGTATTACGTTGGAATCAAATCAGCTGGGATTTGCTGTTACCTTTTATAATTGTACCATGATGTCAAATAAATCCTCATAAAGTAGGTTAACCCGGTAAAAACACCATAAGCAATTTGTCTATACCCATACTCATGGTATATTTTATAACAAGGTAGGGCACAGCTACCAACTGATTACAATTTTTTCTCAAGGTAGCTTGTTCCATCAAATCAAAATACTTTTTTTGTGTATGTATATTGAAATATATTCAATTCTAATTGGAATGAAAATGATGTTTTTAACATCTTCGTCTGGAAGTAATTACTTTGTTATGGATAAAACAAATATTTTATGGTATTCCCTACTGGATTTTCGGAAGAAATCATAACCTTTCATTCATTTTTCGAGTTTTATGTTTTGTGTTGAAAAAATGTCAAATAAACACAAACACTTGTTGCGAATATTTGTTTTATTTTTGGTTTTATATTTTGAAGCCACACGTGCATAGTTGCTTTTTTGTTATTCACCACAAGCTGCCCTACCTTGTATTATTGTACAATGCCCATACTGAAAGAATCCTCTAATAAATGCTCATTAAACACGTCGTGTAAAACGGCATTTACATTATGTTTAACGCGTAAATCGAGTTACAAACGCGTAATTTAATAAATCCGGTACAATATACCGTTATCGGCTATTTTGGTGGAAAATCCGCCATATTGTAGGAGTTTTATTTACGTTTTCATACGATTAAGTGCAAAAAGGAAGTATTTTGACAGCTCGACATATTGTACGACATTTGCTATACTTTATATTGATATTAAGAAAAAATTGGTTGATTGATGATATGGTAGTAAAAATTGGTTAATTCTTGCAGATTCAAGAATAGACATATTTGGTCTGTTACAGTAATTTTTTAAATAGTAAATCTAGTAAATGGGAAACATTTCAAAATCGCTCTCAGAGTACAAAATAATTTGAAAAGTTCGGAACGTGTTAACACAGGGGGTTTTAATTGTCAATTCCCTTACATATCTGTCAAATAAATCCTCATAAAGAAGGTTAACAATACCAAAAGTTTTAATGTGCATGTCGTTTAAGAACAACGTGGATCAAAAATGCAGATATTTTCTACATTGCATTTTATGGTCAATATATAATAACACTTACGGTCAGCAAGGTCGGAGTAAAAAATAAAGGTACGTTTAGATTTACGAAATTCACTTGATCTCAAATGTCAATTCCATTGCTTATACGTCAAATATAATCCACTGAATTTTTGAACAGGGTTAAAGTGACGTAAACGCAATGTAATTGACATTTAAGATCGAGTCTATTTAGTAGTCTAAACGTAGCCTAAGTATGTCTGTACATAACATATATATTCTTATCGCTGGCTTAACTTGTAAAGGCAACAAGTCCAATTTTCGAGAAATTAAATTGTTGATACAGTTATGTGTAATAAGGCAAAATATATCGATCTAAAAAAATAAAAATACAGTTTTCTCATTTGTTGTTTTGTATTGATAAGTAAAGGTGTTAAGTCCAACTCTTCACATGTCGCCGGCTTAACATCATGAAAAGGCGCCAACTCCACTTTTTATTTTGAGTATTTTGGATATGATTTTCTGCCGAATTGGCGGTAATTTGGTATTTTTGGTACTTATGGGGTAGCTCACCTTCCAACAAAATATTATCGATAGTGGTCCACTTTTTAGGGTACCGCCCATATAACGTTATCCCCAATATTCGAAATTTTAGTAGGTTCGGGCACGTTTTTCAAACGAATTAGCGGTAATTTTATATTTGGAACTCTGATTTGATTTAAAATCTCTCTACCAAAAAGTATCAATATTGGCCCATGTGTTGGAGTAGCCCCCATATTACGTTACCCCTATTATTCGGTATTTTGGGAAATTTAGGTACGTTTTTCAATCGAATTAGTTCTAATTTGATATTTTGGGTTCTCATTGGGTGTCCAAGCATCCTACAAAAAATTATCGATATCAGTCCGCGATTTGGTATATCCGCCACAAAACTGTACCGCCAATTTTACAATTTGAAGAATTTTGACCTTTAAATCCCAATAGCAAATCGTTTGATATTTCATTTAATCTTGGTAGTAATTTACGATGGCATAACATAATGGCATAAAAGTCCCGATCGATTTTAATAATTTGACTGTGCACCTCGTGGTAGAGAGTATAAAAAAGTTCTAACCTGCCTAACATAGCGACGTTTTTCTTTTTTTTTCATATTTTTGAATAAATTATGTTTCCAAAACAATCTTCGGTAAAGGAACACATCTGTTGTTCGCCACAGTTATAAATTTGACAGATGGTCTGTTAAAATTTATATAGAATGTGGCTTTAAGTGTTGCCATGGGACTATATCATTCTTGCCAAAATAGTGAACAGAGTTGATTTTTTGGTACTAATACTAATGTGTTGCAATAGAATAGTAGTGATAACCGGTCTAATTTCACTCAGCTGTTCAAAAAGAAAATTATTCAATTCACAAATTTATATGAAAACTACGCCTACATACGTACATGTATACATTGGCGTCGGCTTGAATTTTGTGTTGTTTGCAGGCAGCACAACAATTGAGTCGAGCCAACAGTTTTCAATTTTTGTATTTGAATTCTGTATGGGCATGTTGTAAAATGAGATTAGCTAACATGCTTGCATCTGTTAAAGATATAAAATTACCCGAAAGTAGTAGGGTTTATTCAAGGTTAACGGGCTGACCGCTTCTTTTTTGATAGTAACTGTCTTATTATAAAAATGTATAGGGATTTGGAAATTGGTAATTTTACTGTGATACTTGCTGATATTAGTATGCAATTCCTTAGTAATTATTAGAATACGCATATGGGAGGTTATTTACAAATCGGTGTTTTTACTACAATATGATAGTTGAGTGTGGCGGCGGTCATAAATGCTAGGCTTTACTATATCTCACTTGGCCTGTTTCTGTGCTCAAAATGTAGTAAAACTTTTCAAATTTATAAAGCGAAAGAGAAATATTGACAAAATTGCGTTCGAGTGACAATTATTAAAAATTAACGAATAGATCAAAAAATGTTGGGAATGTTTACGTCATTCGGATTTTATACAGAGTTGTATTTCGAACAATAATAAATTATTTCTCCTATTGTATAAGTATATATTTGTAGTTGGGTAGGTCAATGCAAGGTTCTACTATATTATATCATATTAACTGGATAGATAGGCGGTTAGTTATACGTCGGAGCAATAATATTGATATTGATGTGTTTAGGTCACCACTATTCCAAATAGAAGCAGGTAGAAAATGGCTTACTGTGTATTTTGATATGCAGAGTTGTATTTTAAGAAAAAAAGGTCATTTTAAATAATTCGAGAACCTGCAAGAATCTTCTATTATTTGATTTTCTATTATAAATTTGATGACAGTCCAAAGGTTTGCCAATAATAGATTTTTCAAATGGATAGAATTCGGACACAGAGTTGTATTTTTTCAACAGAAAATGTCATTCTGCAATGTTTAATTAAGATAAAGGATTTTAAATCTATTTCGTTGGGAAATTGATTTAAGGAATCCTCGATAATTGCTATCGACTCTTTGAAGATT